AGTAGTACAAACTTCAGTATTAAACTGTGAGTGCCCTTGATGAGGGGCAAATAGGTGAATAACTTAAGAAACTATGAACTAAATTCAAATGTAAACTCCATTGATGACCGCCATATCCATCGAAGCTAGGAATCATGGGTAACACTTGCATAATAATTAGCATGTTTGAGGTCGATTCCATTACTCATAGGGGTAACTCTTAATGTAAGAACACATGTAAATGATCTAACAGTGAAAAAATAAAGTAATTTTCCCAGTTAATAGGGAAATATGAATAAACTAGAATAATCTAAACTGTTTATAAAGATAACACTAGATGAATAAATCTATCTAAAAGTAGAAATGTATTGATACACATTCTTATGCATTTAACTAATTAAAAAACACGCATGTTGACCTGTGCCCGACAACATTATGCTATTGTGATACAGGAAATAGTTTCAATATTACTATAATACTTTTCCTACTCAGCACCCATGCTTGACTATTGACTCATGTGCCTATCCCTTACAAAATGCCCAAAATTTGCTTGCATGATCATAAAACCTGGTCTTGAGCATTGTTAGAATGTGAAGACCACGGTAACAGTATGTGCATATTAATCAAATAATTTGCATAATTAGTTAATTTTCAGCTTTCTACTCATATCTCAAGTACTAATCATCACATTTAAATTAAAATTTGGCACATAAATGTTGTAGTACAATTGACAGACCTGATTAGTAACTGGGTTAAAATATGTACATATTAATTATCTTATATGCATAAGTGAATTTTAAGCTTTCACACTGATATCTAAAGTACTAATTATTCCATTTCAAAGAAACATTGTACATAGATGCTCTAGGACAATGTACAAATCTGATTATATCAATTCCCTAATTAGCATAATAATTCATAATTTTGAATGAAACTTGATACATAGATGGTCTGTTACATTGCGCAGACCTTATTAGTTTTACACTCATATCTGTTCATATTAATATCATGATTTGTTTTCAGCTTTTCCATCAATATCTCAAGTACAAGTAATTTTTAATTCGTCTCCAATACTCTGAGTTCTTTTTAAGCAGCAGGTTGAACAGATTATAAAATGGTGCATAATAATCAAATTATGAATATTCATGATACAACTTGAAAGCCAATGACGATGGTTCATAATAATCAACTTATGAATATTCATGATACAACTTGAAAGCCAATGACGATGGTTCATAATAATCAACTTATGAATATTCATGATACAACTTGAAAGCAAATGACGATGGTTCATAATAATCAACTTATGAATTTTCATGATGCAACTTGAAAGCCAAAAATTGTTCATAATAATAAAATTAGGAATATTCATGATACAACTTGAAAGCCAATGATGGTGTATAATAATCAACTTATGAATATTCATGATACAACTTGAAAGCCAATGAGGATGGTTCATAATAATCAACTTATGAATATTCATGATACAACTTGAAAGCCAATGACGATGGTTCATAATAATCAACTTATGAATATTCATGATACAACTTGAAAGCCAATGACGATGGTTCATAATAATCAACTTATGAATATTCATGATACAACTTGAAAGCCAATGACGATGGTTCATAATAATCAACTTATGAATATTCATGATACAACTTGAAAGCCAATGACGATGGTTCATAATAATCAACTTATGAATATTCATGATACAACTTGAAAGCCAATGACGATGGTTCATAATAATCAACTTATGAATATTCATGATACAACTTGAAAGCCAATGACGATGGTTCATAATACAACTTGAAAGCCAATGACGATGGTTCATAATAATCAACTTATGAATATTTATGATACAACTTGAAAGCCAATGATGGTGTATAATAATCAACTTATGAATATTCATGATACAACTTGAAAGCCAATGACGATGGTTCATAATAATCAACTTATGAATATTCATGATACAACTTGAAAGCCAATGACGATGGTTCATAATAATCAACTTATGAATATTCATGATACAACTTGAAAGCCAATGACGATGGTTCATAATAATCAACTTATGAATATTTATGATACAACTTGAAAGCCAATGATGGTGTATAATAATCAACTTATGAATATTCATGATACAACTTGAAAGCCAATGACGATGGTTCATAATAATCAACTTATGAATATTCATGATACAACTTGAAAGCAAATGACGATGGTTCATAATAATCAACTTATGAATTTTCATGATGCAACTTGAAAGCCAAAAATTGTTCATAATAATAAAATTAGGAATATTCATGATACAACTTGAAAGCCAATGACGATGGTTCATAGTAATCAACTTATGAATATTCATGATACAACTTGAAAGCCAATGACGATGGTTCATAATAATCAACTTATGAATATTCATGATACAACTTGAAAGCCAATGATGATGGTTCATAATAATCAACTTATGAATATTCATGATACAACTTGAAAGCCAATGACGATGGTTCATAATAATCAACTTATGAATATTCATGATACAACTTGAAAGCCAATGATTGTGTATAATAATCAACTTATGAATATTCATGATACAACTTGAAAGCCAATGACGATGGTTCATAATAATCAACTTAATAATAATAATAACTTTATTTAATTAAGCGCAACAATCCAA